CAAGCTGTATTTGCTTAAAGGCTTCTTAAGCCAGTTGAGCGCGCGTTCATAACAGATGACCTCATATTTGATTTCTTAGACTTGTATGGCATTTTTTGTGCTTTCTTTATGGCAAGCACAAAGCCAAAAGGCAAACACACTCGAGTCATAAAAAGATGCCTGCAGACAAACAAAGCGACACAGTCAACACACGAGTGCTCGCATAGGGGCGCAGACCATGCCCACATAAAGATCAAATGTCAATACGGCGGGGAGCCGCGCTAAATGTGGCCAAAAGCAGCCAAAGCAAAAACAAACAGCAGCCGCTCCACCAAAATATCTACAACAAATTCTAAACGTTGTCATAAAAATGAAATGAAAACAAGCAGCAGGCAGGCCAAGCGGGAAACGGGCCTGATGCAGAAGATGTAAAAAACTTAAGATATTCAATAAGTTTACTTACAGCTTAGAACGGGGCATAGAGCACAGCGGTCACTTGGCTTTGTTGGCTGAAAGGAGGGTGGGGGGTGACCTTTTTATCGCTCCAAATATGTTTATGACTCGGTTTTGGTGGGTCGAATGGTTTCCCTAGACTGCTGACAGCTTATAAATCTCAGACTTTTTGTGTGTGTGCTGTGCACATGAAATTGTTTTTAACGACAATGTGTGTCCACGTAAATTATTAGTTTAATAAACGTTGCGCCCATAACAAATAATTGCCGGAAAGGACAAAGTGAAGTATAAGGATTAGGCCTATTAATAGTCGCAAAATGTAAAAGCTGTAAAAAACTGGAATATAAACAATACAGCTTACAGTCACGGCATAAGACGCCTTACGCCTTACTTGAATTTATGAGAATCGCATAGAGAAGCAGTGTATAAAATGCAATTAGCCTTTATTTAACTAGTTAAATGACATGTCTTACTTGAATTTATGAGAATCGCATAGAAAAGCAATGTATGAAATGCAATTAGCCTTTATTTCATTAAATAAATGGCATGTCGTTTGTGATTCATTCCAAGAAAATTGTTAAACAATTAAACTTGCAATAAATGACGTCTTAATTCGTATATTATTCAAAAGATGCTAAATATGCATTACCTATCCTCAAATGGTTTCCTCTACCCTCAAATGTGCACATGCATGCGCTCAACCCTTTGGCAGGAGGCGAAATTTATTTTTCAATTAATATGAAATCAAGCATTAAAATTGAATTAGCAACCGAAACTAAGCACAAATCTTGTTGGTTGGTTGGCAAAGAAAACTTGGCAGCAACTTTGGCCAATTAGAAAATTACGACAGCGACAAGGACAATATGTTGCCTACTTTGCGGCAGCAACAGCGTCTTGAGAACGCAAGTCCCGCCCGGCAAATATTGTTTAGTAATTCTGGCGCGCTTATTTTGTATGTTGGCCGGCGGGCAGACCTGGCAAAAGTTCAACTAACAAACAAAAGCGATAATTACAAGAAAACAGGCGAGCTGGCGTCAGGCAATGCCAGGACTACGCCACAGGACAGGACACAGAAGCAACAGCAGCCAGGAGCAGGACAAGCGGTAAACTTTGTTTGTCAGTTGCGTATGCGAATGCAAATAATTTTACAAAAATTAAAAGCAGACAACAGCAAAACTTTTACGTAGATTCAACATTTTTGAAATCTATCCGAATAAGCAGCCGGAGTCCTGTCAAAAGCGAAAGGGTTCCTCTCCTCACTTCGTGTCGTAGTTTATGCGCCTGTCTAAAGGCATTTAACCTACGCCACTATAATTCACGCCATTTTCAGCGGCATTTAAATGCAGCGCGCGCGACTCGCATCCTGGCATCCCGGGGCTGCCGCGTCCTGGGCTTGGCTCCCCAGCTGGGATAACGATAAGCCAAACATGATTTTACGACAATGTTATTACCAGGCAGCCGACGGAGGTAGAACAGCTCCCGGAGGTCGGTGGATGGATCCCTTGTATTGTATGTTGTGTTTGTTGAGACGTAAAAGGCATTTTGGCTGGGTGGGCTAGGTCTGGGGTAGCCCTGGGGTTATATGCCATGACGCTGACGTCGCTGTGATTGTTTAAAGTTATGAATAATTAAATATTTGAGCAGGTTGCGTACTCCGCACGTCTAGCTGGGTTCTGGTGCTCCCCAATTGGGCTGCTGGCCGAGGGAAATAGCTGTGGGACTGAAGATAAATTCTTATATATCGTATCGAATGGTATCAACAATCTGTGAACCACTTTGTATTATCAGTTATCAGGAATTGAATTTCATTTTCAAGAAAATATAGGCAATAAACATATAAATCTGGTACGAAATAAACATATACCTGCCCAAATGATCTATATAGAGATTACAAATTATGAATTGATTTATTATATTTCTCTTGTGTTTTTAAATACATCTCCTTTTTAGAATATACACAAAAAAAAAGTATTTATCTGCCCCAACTTTCTGAGAATTTGCCACCCCTTTGCTATTCATTTATTTACGGACCGACCACAAAACGCTAATGCAAATAATTGCCGTCCATTTCGAGTGCATTAAACTGGAAATTATGTGCACAGCCGCAGTTAATTACACAAAAAGGAAAATAATCAAACAAAAAAGTCATTTTACCAAAGTTGGAGATGCGGGGCATCGATCCCCGTACCTCTCACATGCTAAGCGAGCGCTCTACCATCTGAGCTACATCCCCAGTTGAATATATGCGAAATAACGGTCTTTTTTAAGGCAACAGAATCGCTTACATTGATTTATGTGTTATTTTATGTATTTAACCTTGTATTTTCGGAAAGGGTCACGCATTTTTAAGAAACTAAAACTGGTTGAATGCATACTAAATAGATATTTTCGATTTGTGGGCTATTTTTGATAGCCTGAAGATTATAAGCACTACCTGGCGATCATAAATGCATGAGGCTCAATGGTCTAGGGGTATGATTCTCGCTTTGGGTGCGAGAGGTCCCGGGTTCAAATCCCGGTTGAGCCCGACGAACTTTTTATTATTTGTTTTAAATTTTAATAAGAGAAATTTTGTTCACAGTAGTGAGTGTTATCTCCCATAATCTAATGCCATCTATTAACAATCTCTGTATACTCAGTAAACATGATGATAATTTCCCGACCTATCATGTGGGGTAATAAAAAATGTTTATACAAACCAGTTTTTGTTGTTTTACTTACGTTTCTTTGTTATTCAGTAAACCGGCTGACTTTGTCAAAAACTACTTTGCTGACATTTCTTGCATAATAAAATCGTCTGATCATGAATATTTTATCGCTGAGCGCATTTTCGAAATTTGTTTGAACAATATTGTGTCTCGTTTACCCTAACAGAAGTTACTATTATTTTAGTGCTAACTGTGTTACGCATTTTAGATGACATATTTTGATATTGGAATGACAGATCGATAATGCTTAATCATACTAACACCACAGAAATTTCCGAAAAACTTGTCAGAAAATATTTAGCCAAAACAAATATTTATACCATAACAAAAGTTACGCCAAAAAATATCATATCATATATATGCCTACAATCCGAATTGTTTTGCAATCTTTTTTTAATGAAAAATGCACCACTTACCCAGCTTATCATAATTAATTCTAATTAATAATAGCCTTAAAAGTGAGCAACTGAGGTGATATCACTAGGTCATACTTCTGGTTTATGACTGTTAGGGTATTTTATACGTCAGCAAAGTTAACTTTCCTAACTTGTTTAAAGCCGTATTTTATTGGACTCAATTGCCATAACCATTAACCACGGTGTTATTTGCATACCAATCTATTTTTAAACCGCTTGAATTGCACTTTTATCGCTTATTGACCACTAAGCGAACCAATTTTCCGACGGGGATGTAGCTCAGATGGTAGAGCGCTCGCTTAGCATGTGAGAGGTACGGGGATCGATGCCCCGCATCTCCATAAAGAGTGAATTTTTGCATTGTTTTTAAATCAAACAGCTTATATATACACAAAAATAATATCTTTCTCTGTGTCTGCTGCCTAGCACAAGCTTTTTTGTTGTGTATACGTTCCTAAAATATTTTTCACAGGGAAAAGAAACAGTCGAATTGCACCTTTATTGCTAGATTTTTTTAAAATTTTATATCAATGACATATATAAACTACTAGTTTTTCCAGGCATGACGAAACAAAACTCAAATATATTACTTTGGTAATTTATTACAGAAATAGTTTAAAATTGATACTAAAAAGAATTTTCAAAAAATTAGACGTTTTGGAGATGCGGGGCATCGATCCCCGTACCTCTCACATGCTAAGCGAGCGCTCTACCATCTGAGCTACATCCCCGTGTGATCACCGGCTGCCGAAAACGCATGTCATTCCGCAAGGTTGTTCAACTTACCTTCGGTACGATCTGGAATGAAACAACCCACAAAATCTACCACCCAGCAAACGACACACCCTCTGTAAACAAAAGAAATTAATTTACGCATTTTCTTTTCAGTTGCATTTTTGCTTTATTATTTATTCTCTTTTAAAAACTGTCAATATTTACACTTGGCACAGGTTAAGTCTACCATAAAAATTACAAAAATACACACTCGCGCAATTTTCATTTTATTGTATTGCTTTGTTTTCTTTGCGTTATTGTTTTGAGCTTTGCACAACGTCTTCAGCATCCGCTCCGACCACCTGCCATCTGATGCATATAATTATGGAAATTTCCAAGTGCGTCTCCGCCGCCCAACAACAACAACAACTACAACGATAACAAATGACACCCGAGCGAAAAATCAAGGCAGGCAGACGTAACGATTTTGTCAGTGCAAATAAAAGTTGCGACAAAACAAAAAGATAAAACAAATGGAAATCTCTAGGGATAAGCAGTACGCAAGCCACATTTGCATAAACTCAAAACATGCCACAATATTGATTACATGCAGACATCATTCAAAATCTGTACATTTGCGCGCCCAATTTTAAGAACGGGTGGCAGCACTGTCCCGCATGCAACTCTGCGTACAGCTGTGTGAATCTCACATGCAATATTAAAATAAGAGTTCTATTGTGCATAATTTGATTAAGTTTATGTGTTTACGTGTGTTTTGCTTGTAATATTAAAAAAAAAAAACAAGCATTTACAATTGCAAAAGTGAGAAGTGCCCGAGAATGCTGCAACTTCAGCTACACAGCTAAAACGCTCTCTTGCGGTTTCAAGCAACAACAAAGAGTACAAAAATGTCCTGCCATTGGCAACTAGAATTTATCAACTGCGGCCAGCAAACGTGATAGGCGCTGCCTTAATAATGAATTAAGTTCATATTTATGCATACAAAGTGTACATATATTATTAAGTTTTTGTAATGCATGAACGTCGGGGACCAGCCACAACAGCTGCTGCTGCTGCCGCTGATTCTGCTGCAGCAGCAACAACAACAACAGGGACAACAACAACTGCCGGCTCCGAAGCGATGTCGGCTACAGCTTCGGGCACCGATGCGTCTGCAACTGCTGCTGCCGCCTTGCAGGAGCGCAAGAGATGCCACACAGGTGGCCAGCAACAACAAAGGCACCACAATCCGAATGGCCCACCAAATGCCAATAGCTGGTGAGCTACAATCTCATATATAAATCACATTACACACAAACACAACAGAGGCATACACACACACACACTAATACATATGTACATTTCGCGCCCGTCCAATAGGAAATTTAAAAAACTGCCAACGTTCGCACAAAACGTTATGATAATGAGGCAGGCCATCAAGCACAGCGTCGCGTTGCTCTCACGTGCCTGCTAATTTTATGTGCTGCCATCGCCCAGGATCACAGCCCGGACTGGCGGAGCTGGCGTGGCACAGCCTTGCAGCCAAGTGGCTGGCATAAGCATAATGTATTGTACATGATATTTTGTGCGCGTCCTGCTAAAATAGCTAGCCTTAACGAATTTTGTTTGCGTGTCCTGTTTAACATACTCGAGTACCTTGTTGAGCTTTGGCGAGCCCATCTCCCGCCTGGCTGCTGCAGTAACTGTTAACAAGGGAATCTTGGGTATCTTTAGCTTATAAGCTGCATAACAGTATTTTAGTACGAGCAGCTACATTAGAACTGAATAAGAATCGAAGGGGAAGTCTTATCAGAACATGCATGAGAAATTATAAAGTTAATGCCAACTAGACTAATGCCTATATAGTTGACCCCCTTCTAATGCGTGGCAATTTCATATCCTGCCCATGCCTATACACACATGAAATATCCTTAAATTATTAGCTTTTATGCCTGGTCCCCCCCACCTCTCTGCTTATGTCCTGCCACATCTGCAGCAGCTGAAAAAGTCGAAAATGCTCATAATAAATATAAAATGGCAAAAACGTGTCGATTTCGTATAACAACTTGAAAATGATTTGTTTCACAGTCTGCAGCGCATATTAACTTCGATTTTCAATTCGAAGCAACAACAGCAGCAGCAGCAGCAGCAGCAGCTTATGTGCCACACATGTAGTAAGGACTTTCTCCAGCTGCTTGAGCAATTTTTTGCCAGTTAGGCAGCGCCAAAAATTCCATTAGGCCGCAAATGTTGCCAAATGAAAAAAAAAAAAAAACAACACATAAGCGACTCATAGACAACTTTTGTTGATGTTGTTGTTTCTGTTGCTGTTGTTGTTTCGGTTGTTTTGTTTGTTTGTTTGCCAGGCGCTTGTCTCAATGACGTTGTCCTTAGCCATAGCCTGCAGCTCCGTCAGCTTCATCTTGTTAACCAAACAGGCTGCAAGCACTGCCGCCAAGACAAAGCCACAAAAAGCGATTCAGTCTAGTCAAAACAAAAAAATAAAATGGGCCAAAGGACTCTAATTGAGGGCCTGACTGGACACAAGCCAGCTGCTTTTGCATCTTGACCATTTCCGTTGTCCGGATCTGCATGTCTACTCAATTTTCCGACAAATGAGTGGACGTCGTCATCTCACCTCACCTCACCTTTCGCCAGCTACCGAAATTGATTGGAATTTACAACATGCGGCTACAGTTTTTGGCTTTTTTTAGCTTTTTTTTTTTTTTGCCTCGCAACACTTCAGCATTGAGCTTGTTTGCGGCTTTTCCTGTTGTTGCTGCTGCCATTTGCCCCCAGTCATAAAAGTCTAACGAGGCTCTAGGACCACACAACATTGTCATGATGTTTGCCATTCATAAAAACTTCAATTGATTTCAATATACCCAATTTTCTAACTCCCAAATATATTTACATTTCGTTTCTACAACAATTCAGTTTTCAGAATTATCAAGAAGCCAGACACCAGATCAGGTCCCCTTTGGGTCCCTTTAGTAAGGACAATCGAGAGCCCGAAAAATACTTTCCACATTTTTACATGAGCTTCGCGTTGTTTTCAACGAAAAAAAAAAAATATGTGACCATAGGTATTAACGTAATTAATTTCGTGCCGCGTCACATGTTTCGGTCCGGTAAAAAAATATAAAAAAAATCCCGAGAGAAATTAATTATAAACAAATCTTTTCATGTCAGCAACGGAATTTGCGACACTTTTGCGCATTTTTCAGCTGCCCGCTGAGAACTTTTTTCAAACTCAATTTCACAGCAATTTCTAGAGGGCCAACCGCTTCCCGCCCCCTCCAGCCCACAGCCATTGTTTAGGGTCACTCAAAAGCACATTTCACTTATTATTAGCTCATTTATTACCACCAAATGCTGACCCCGGCAGCACCTGGACCAGATCCTTCAGCAACCCCTAAAAAAATGCTGTTGTGAAAAATACTGCCCTGTCCGAGGCAATAACAAAAAAAAAAAAAAAGAAAAAAATTCAAAGTAAAAACTCTGTGGGTCGCGGGCATCTTAAAATTAACACATAAATTTTAAGTGGGTGGTGTCACAGAGGGCCTGCGGCTATCCATAAGATACCTTTGGCTCACGCTTGGTTGGCTCGGACTCCGGCTGTGGCTGGACCCCGGGCATTGTCATTGAAATTTCCGTGTGAGTGCGCTCAGTGTGCTGCTTGTCAATTCACCTAGGCAATAACTTTTTGGCCAATTGCCGATGAAACTACGTGACGCGCCGGGAAAAGTATCTGCCAGATACTGTCGCATTGACTGCCGTCGACTTGTTTATTGTCCGCAAATTAGCCCCACAGACTCAGCAGGAATAGTTGCATTTCTAATTATGCGCCAGCAAATTAAAAATCCATGGCAAGAAAACTTCATTTTCAACTTCATGCAGGCCTAAGATAAACAAAAAAAAAAAAAAAAAAAGGAAGGTTGCCCCATGCCAATCCTTGTTATAACAATGGAAGCCAAGACGGCGTCAGAGTCAAATGATTCTTGAAATGAATGGAAAAATGCGAAAAGGCCGCTGCAATGCGGAAATAAATAAACGTCGCGAATCTCAGACAACATTTTGAATAACAAAATAAAACCCGACAGACCCCAACTCGAACTGGAAGCTCTATTTGTAAGATCTGCTCTGTTTAGTTATGCATTTTGCCTGTTTTTTTTTTTTTTTTATACTTCATTTTTTTTATTTTTTAATTTTCTTATATTTATTTGTCTCGTTCCCACAGGCGCCAGAAGAAGTCCACGAATTATAATACCCAATCCTGGCAAAACGGACGCAGGCAAGTTTTTTCTGCACTTTTCATCCTACTCCCCCGCCTCCCCAACCCCTCCCTGCCGTGCTAAAATTCCTTCGTGTCAATCGTCCTGCCTGCCATTTGTTTGTCTCTCGCTCTGTGTTTTGTTTTGTTTGTTTTCCTTGTGTGTGTGTGTGTGTGTGTGTGTGTGTGTGTGTGTTTCTTGTGCTTTCTTTTGCTTTAACGCACGTTTGCACCTTTGCCAAACAGTTGCGTGTGGGCGGTTGGGTTGGGTTCGCCTGGCTGCTTGGGTTAGATTGCCCAAGGGAAGGCAACCACATTATTAACACTTGACTAAATATGCATTTCTTGGTGGACGCTGTTGACAGCAAGAAGCGCTAACAAGGTTTGCGTTAAGGGTTTGCAAAACAAAGCTGCGGCTATCAAATGGGTGAATATAAATTACGACGTATAAAAAACTGCCCAAATAAAGCTGACACTTGAGAAAGTCTTAAATCAAGCAAACTAAATATACCAAAATATGCAAAAATTGCAAAATATAAGGATTACTCGCTAAAGAATTGTGAGCAATAATATGTTACATATATCACCAGCTAAATGCGGTAATACCCGATCCCAAGCGAACTTGTATTTGAAAAGCCAGTCGTATGCCAAATATGTTTTCCAAAGAAAAGCCAGGCTTTAGTCCCAGGCTAATATAGCCTGGCCTGGTTCGAGCGAATTTCCTATAAATATTCTACTTTCTAATTTGAAGTAAGCTTACAAAAAGTATATTCTGTGAAGTATATCCGACTAAATTAGGCTTAAAGAGAAACTTGTACCTGTAGTTTCATCCTTTCGAATACTTTGTTTTGAACCCAAAACAAAATCAAATCAATTAATGAATCATATTAAATGTTCATTATTGTTAAGGCATATGTTTGCTGATTAGAAAATAATAAGTGTTTTTAGGTTTAAGTAAGGGGCAGCAAGCCTATTCTATATGCCTGAAAGCACCAGACTCAGACTTGGGATATAACAGCACACTTTAGCTAAAACATTTCGATTGCAAAAGAGCTGTGGATTATATATAATATACATGTATAAGGTGCTAGATTAACTCTTTGAATATATACACATTCCACGACAAAATTCATAGAAAATTCATAAGAAAATAATTTTTAAAAAAAGAAATAGCAACATGCACTTAATATTTGCAAAGCAATTTAATAAACTTGCACTTATATCTGGCATGCGACATGCGCTTAAGTGTAAACCGTAGATAAATATGCACGTGGCATTTTTGCGGACGCAGTCCCAACGTGTAACATCAAAGTTACCCACCACCCGCCCAACCGACGCGAGGGGCGACAGCCGCATGACGCACGGCGCGTAGATCGCGTTACGGCAAGGGTCCGGACCCTGGCCAAAAATAGTTGCATATCACCCGGCGCGCACACGTCTTAAAATGTCGGACACCACTTTTGAATGGGCCACGGATAATTTTGTTAGCTGGCTGGGATGGGCGAACAGACCAAAAGCCCCGGATAGAGCGGACGATGCCAATGTGGAACTCTCGCTGGGCGAACAGTTGTGTAAAAAGCTAAATCGACGATACGGTTTCATAATCATTGTAATCGGAGATCGGAGTTAGGATTCGGCACATTACATGTGTTAGTTTATCGATGGTTTATCTTAGATCTATTACCATTGGTCGCCTACCTAAGCATTGCTGTTTATTAGACTGCCTAAGCAGCTATTAACCTAATACGTTTACATACATTTTTTTTTTTGGCTACATATTTGCCCTACTATTGGTTACATTTGAATAGGTTTTATCTTGATGGTTACGTTTGATTAGATATTTGGGGCTCTGAGACCCATTTTACTTTTACTCATTAGCTTTGACTTCCATTTTGCCGTCATTAGGCGAATATTGTAATTATTTATCCCATTCTGCTTCTTCTTGGCTGACATTATAACGTGGTTCTACTTACAGTCGGCTCGCTTTGTGCGAACAAACGATGCGCACAAAGATATTTGGTATTTGGCCTCAAAGCCGATACTTAAATCAAGCAAATTACGCTTTCAGCAAAGCGATCGCAGTTATTGACCTGTAAAAGAGTGCAATATGTTCAACAAGTCAATATGATATCAGCATTTGGGTGTGAGAAATTTATAAGTTATAAAGTTAGCCAACACTGAGTATGTACGACTACATCTCAATGTTGTATACATTTAAAACATATATTCGTGATCAGTCCTAACAATCAATCAGGTAGTCCGTCCACCTATATGATAGTTGCTTTAATTATAGTCCAGATACGTTTAAACAAATCATGTGAGTGATTTTTTTAAATAGAATACTACGTTTTTCAACTTTGAGAATATAGAATTTAGAATTTATTTATTTAGTAAATATTATTTTATTTTTATACTTTGAAGAAAATAACTCATTTATAAAAGGTCTGATACTTGTTGATGCTTGTTTCAATCAGATAAAAACTAAACAAATTATTAACATCTTTAATGGGCTAATAAGTAGTTTATACACAATTTAAACATTATTTAGAAAATGAACAAATTTTCTCCTGAAGGTTTCAAGGGATCTGCTTTTGTAGCATACTTTTAAGGGAAATATCTAGAAACTAGAACATACTTCAATATTTGTCTTTAAATACTTTTAAGACATTCCGAAATATTTTGAAAATATATATATATGCAATTTATTATACATCGAATTCTCTTAAAATATAAACACTTTTTGCCATAGTCGAATACATTATTAATTATTTATTTCCTAACTCAATGGGTTAATTCTATTGGCCCAAGTTAGTTATAGGCTATCAACAGTTATTTATATGTATTAATATGTATTAGCTGCACGTTATCACACACACACACGCACACACACACACGCACACACACACACGCACGCGCTCAATACGCACCTTGATAAGCCAGAGGCTCTCGCAGGGATCCAAGAGTTTTGCCGTTTGCTGGCAAAGAACTCCAAAACCTTCCTTCACGGTTTTGATAACGACCACAATAAATAGAACAGGTGACGTTTTTCTCTGTTTATAACCCAACGAAGTCCAAAGGTTGGTAGTTGAAATTCAACTGAGCTCAAGCATATAGCCTAACTGACTTTTATAGGCAGGACAAGCAAATGGCATGCGCCGAAATTCGTCCATACATATGTGCTGCTGGCAAGTAAACGGGAGATGCGATGCTCCAGTTCCAGTTTACCGTTGCCCCCACCATCATGTCTTGCTTATTGTATTGTTGTATGTAGTTTACAAACAATAATGCCAACACTCACACCAGGCCAGTATCGAAGCATGCAACAGCCAACCAGGCAGCGCTTGCAGTTGCCTACCTCTCTCACTCTCTCGCTTGCTCGCGCTCTCGCTCTCGCTCTCTCTCTTATTTTTTGGAAGCATTAATTGCACATTGCAGCTGCCATTGTTGTAGTTGTTTATGTTGTTTTGCTTGTATTTTATTTTATTTCCCAATGCGTTTTATTTTTTTTTTTTTGCTTAGTTTTTCATGCGCACTCGCTCGCTCTCCTGTACTCTCTTTGCCGCAGCGCACTCTCTCTATCTTTGTCGGCTGCAGTCGTGCCAAGTGCTTCGTGGACTAGCGAAAAGCTCGCTGACTGCGCTACTCCTTGGCTGTCCCGTCAGTCTCGCTCGGTCTTTTCAGCTCGCTCGTTCGTCGTGCGCTGCTAGAAGCGGGCAGCGTGGGCGGATGGTGGCTACTGCAGCCCCCACCACCCCCTGCCACCCGCCAACACTGCACACAGTCGTTGCATCTTATTTAGTTACACTTTGGTGCTGCTGCTGCTGTTGTTGTATTTTGCATTGTTTTGTGCTGTGTTTTGTTTTGCTGCTTGCCGTGCAGCGGCCGCCTCTCGGGCCGTGACTTCGTGTTATGTACAAGTCGTTATGATCCTCGGCTCGTCGCTCGTTCGCTGAATATGCGTTGGTTGTGTGTGTACGGCATTGTTGTTGTTGTTGTTGTTGTTGTTGTTGTTGTTGTTATGCTCGGTATTGTGTTGTGTGTTTTTTTGCACTTGCTGTTGTTGCCTTCGCATGCCCATATACCACGACTGCTGCTGCTGCTGCTGCTGTTGTTGTTGTGGGCCCGTTGTTGCTATTGCTATTGCTGTTGTGCTCGCTAAACTACTCCAACTGCAGAGCGCATCCGTCGGTTAACGGCATTTGGTGACACGACCACCACGCAGAAAGTTCTTGTGCTCAGCCTGTTGTGTAGTATTGTGTTGTGTATTGCATTGTGTGTTGTTGTCCCGGTCGTAAGCAGCGCTTGAACCGCTTCAATCTGTGAGGCCCGCGCGATTCAAACGAGGCAAAATTTACTAAATATTCGAATAGGTCCAGTAATATATGCTTGTTAAACAAAAAATGCATTAGGCACAGTTAGACTGTATAACTTTACAACAAACTAAATAATATTGAAATTACATTGTGCATTTTTTTCAATACAAAACTGTTCGAAAACAAATTAAATGATTAGTACTAACTCTTAAAATATATACTACATCGTACTTTAAACAATTTTAATAACAATAATAATACAAACATAAATAAATTATAAAATTTTAGGACTCAAATTTCTATAAGGAAATTAATTCACAAATTTACACACAAGCTTCCGTTTCCGCTTTATCAACCGCGACGTTCTGAAAAAAAAACAAAACAAACAGTAAATATCTTGCACACAGGGTGCTTTATGTTTCACACACAAACACACGCACACCCTGTCTGCCAATTCATAAACAATTAAGTGTCGCTTCAAGCGGCGAAACGTGAGTTGTACTTGGGATGTGCTCTTGGACATTGTCGTGAATTATTGTGATTGAGTTAACTTATTGGACTTGAGAGTGGTCGACTTTGGCAATCGACAGACTGATTTAGTTGCGGTAATTTAGGCGCGTTTAGTATTTAGTTAGTGCTCCGGTAACAAAGTTGCCAATTAAGCTCGAGTAGCTGTGATTCGTTTTATTGCATTCAATTTTTAATGCCTATGTCCTAAGAGCAAAGCAAGACGCACCAAGTATATTATCATTCGCATCAAAGCACAAAGGTGAGCTCGAAATTTCCAATTAGGTTTTAAACTATATAATTATAAATTGCATTTAACCATTAGCAATTTGTGTTATTAAAAAAGGCAGCTTATACTTGTAAACATGCCAAAAACCAGTTTGAAAATGCGAAAGAATTTAATTTCTTTCACGTAATAAAAAAGTAAATCCATTGAGAATGAGAACTATTGCAATATTAAGTATACTAGCTATATAAAAATATTTTTCAATATTCCAGATCTAGAAGTATCTACTTATAGCTCTAAGCGCGAAGATAAAGAAGTCTGTAAATGACTCTGAAAAGTTAAGACAACTTGAAAGATGTAAGGTTTTAGCCCACAATTGATTTCTTAATTGCGTTCAAGGAAATGCAAATTAATAATTATGCGAAATTATATTTATTTCGAAAATGATTTTTGCAGCAGTCAATTAAGTTCATTGAAATGATCAAATTTTGAAGGCATCCTTCTCTGGCATCTGGGCAGAGCTTCCTTCTAATTAACGTAAACAAATTTGAAGCAGAAATAACAATAAATGTCTCTGGCAAATCCGCTTATGCGAGACGCGCGCATCTGGCAATCGAAAAGTTTGGCATTTTCATTTTTCTTATTCTTAATTAAATCCAAAACACTTGCGTAAACTTTTATTATGGCCAAGACGGGCCCGTCGTAAGCCCAACAATCCGCCTTCATGCCCCATGCCCCATGCCCCATGCCCCGTGGCCGTGCGCATTTGTCAATGTAGCAAAAGTGAAAAATTTTCATTTTTCATTATCGAGCATTATGAAAGCTTTGCGCACCGAAAAATGACAGTCAACCAAGTGTCAGAGAACTGCCACGTATCCCCTTCCATTCGTCTCCTCAGCTCAATTGCGAGTGCTATATCATAAATATGCATCTAACGTTTTATCTAACGTCTTTATGGCTCGTGGGGATAGAGTCTCTGCGCTCCTCGCCCGCAAAAAGTAGACTTAAAAGTAATTTTACGTCTGACTAAACATTAATGTGCTCAATATTTTATTGTTTGTTTGTTTGTTTGTTGTTTCATAGACTTTACAGGCCATGCAACAAAACGACAAAGAGCCCAGCAAATTTGGCTACGAAACAAACGACCAAAAAATTCCTGCCACTTGATTATGCGGGTTACTTACAATTCTATCAAAGTTTCGATTTTTCAATGCTCTTTTTAGAACCAAATAAAAAACGAGCAAATAGAATGTGTTTTTCGGGCTCTTAAAGGTTAAATACCCTTACGTATTTTATATATGAAAAGTACGAATTCTCTAATTCGACTAACTCTCATTTAATACATTCGACCGGCAGTTAAAATGTGAATCAATGCCAAGTTTCATTAGAACAAACACACGTACATGATCCTAACAAAGTTCATAACACAATGATAATGCCCTTTAATAGAGTATAAAGAATAAAATGGCAACAAAACTTTAGTCATGCAATTCATTATTGCAGAAGCTGTTCTGGATTGTTTCCTATAGTTGGGTAAATAATGTTAACTCAAGACGATTGTACGACGTTTGCTAACTTTGTCGTTTGAAATTTAAAGACCTACTTGTATTTTTATAGCTTATCTCGATAATCTTCCATAGTAAACAAAGAAGAGTGCTCTAGATATCGTGCATAAGCCAAACAATTGGATATGAGTTGACTTATATAAGACTTATATAAGATCGGATATGCCTTCTTCTGCCTCTACACAATATCATTTAACCCTTCCTTACCCATAACATTCTATTAAAACAGAAGGCAATTATTTATTTGCGCGAGGCAACATAATACAAGTATTATTTTCCAAAGCTATAAATAGATAAGCTACGTAGCAGTTCTTCTTAATATCTTTACGAAGCGTAGTTTAATTTTGCACAAAAATGTAACCGAATCTATTTAGACAAATTCATTTGTTTCCTTTTTAAATTAAAAGTCCCTTAAGGTATGTTGTTAAAACTTTGCATTATTGGGCTTTTTATTGCCGAAAGCCGTACCGGATCACTTTACCGTCACAAGAAACTATTCATGATTTATATATATATAAATCACTAATTGAGAGTATCAATCGCATTATTTACTTCTTTTTGTATAACCAAGTCTGTTTAGTTTCGAAATACTAGTCATTTTGTTTATAGCTACGATTGAACACAAAAAGAGCTTACGTATTGTTTTCAATATATTTTACATAAACACACACATTTCAAGTTTTAAATTTAGAAACAATTTATCAAAAGTGGACTTCTGCATCATATTTCTCTCGTTAAATAAATTGGCTTTGAAAATGTGGCTTAGATAAGTTTTTGTTGTATAGACATATCGGCACTTCGATTGTTGATAAATAATATAAATGATTTATTTTTTGCTTGTAGAGAATTATACGAAAATCACGAACAAAAGGTGAATGAAAGTAAGTTAATTTTTATTAACAATAGACAAAGTGCTTATCAGTTAAAATACTTAAACGACCAAGATACAAGCGAAACAGTTAACTTGTTTCGAATTCGTCAAGTGCGAGTATTTTGAGCACGCCTTCTTTGATTCGAATCGAAACTCAAGTAGCCAAGTATTGGCCGGGCCAAAAGCTTTCCCTTCACTTTTGCTTTTCGCTGGCATTGCACTTTGTCAACACTTTTGGCCACTTGAGCATGAGAATTGTTTGGCCAGCAACACATGGGGATGTAGCTCAGATGGTAGAGCGCTCGCTTAGCATGTGAGAGGTACGGGGATCGATGCCCCGCATCTCCAAGTTGTACAATATCCAGGAAAATGGAATTTTTTGCTACCGCCGATAGACGAAACAAATACGCAGACGTCTGCATTTTTGATAGTCAAGAAGCAGGCGCATTAATGAATATTCAAAGGTCGCTTTGTAACTGCCAAACGACTTTGGCATTAGATGCTGCCTACCAGACTGCACGCCCCCGTGCGGCGCCCTCATGTCGACAATCAGGTCGCGTAATTTGATTTGGTGCTCATTCCAAAGGGCGGTGCGGGCAACACACGGAGAACAGAACGAACACATTGTCGCACATAAATCAGGCACAATATGCCAATGTTTGTTTACTCGCCTGCATTCGCAGAACTTTGCCAGCAATTAAACAAGCAGCCAAAGCCAGAAACATGGTCCCAGGACGAACAGCAGTATGGGGGAGAAGGCGGTTGGCTGCCACAGGCAGCCGCAGGCGACAGCACACAGGAAACAGAGTAAACTCAGGGGTCCACGGAAAGGACAGGTTTGGGTATTGTAAATGATACATGATGTGCTATTTATGAGAAGCCTTTGTTTTAATTTTTGCACCGCACACAGGACAAACTTTTCTTCCCTGACGACTGCTAAGCTAAGCTAGTTAAGCTGTTGCTGTCCTCTTCTCAAAATTTATGTGTTTTGCTATTTTTTTTTAATTGTTTTAAGTGTTTTGTTATGTTGTGGATGTTTTCTTTTTATTATTATTTTTCAATACTGACAGAAAGAAGAAATAAAAAAAAAACAGAAGTTTATCCTTGGAGATGCGGGGCATCGATCCCCGTACCTCTCACATGCTAAGCGAGCGCTCTACCATCTGAGCTACATCCCCTTGTTGTACTGACTCATAAAAAGGCTCAATAACTATCGCAGTTTTTATGCCCACTCCACCCATTTGTCGCTAACCGAAATCGAATTACAATTACTGTAGATTCAATTGAAATTCAAGCTACGACGGAATGTGGCCCAAATTGGCTTTTAAGCTTGGCTCGAACTGGTTTGCAGTGGTCAACCTGAGATATGTATGCCCTGGGTGTGCCGGACCAAATTGAGGTTGTTAAGACTCAACGTTCGAAGACAATAGTTTTAGTCACAGAGCTTAACTGAAGAGATTTTTTGGTAAATACAAATTTGCTAAAAGAAATCATCTGCTAATATCGATATTTATCGATAATATGTAATAGAAGTAGATAATGATAAAGAAGTATATATATATGTATATATTAATTTTGCGTATGGTATAGGAAAATATATATTTGAAATTTTTTTAGCTTTTGCAGTTTACACAGTCAGAAATATCTATCCCATTTTAACTATATATGACAAAAGATGAAAAGTAAAATGTTTTGATAAAAATAAACAAGTTAAAACGTTGCAGTGGGGTTTAACAGACTGCTTAATACTCTGCTTTAAGCTTTAGTTACCTATTAAATAAGTCAAAATAAATATTCTTGATCATTGTTTGAGTTCTGGACTGTTCGACTGTCAGGCACTTTGACTTTTGATAATTATGAACAGAGTAGAAATACTTAAAATTCCAAAAAAAAATAGCTCTTTCTTTACTTTCAATTTGCAACTCAACGTGTTCTGACTTGAAGAAAAACCACAATTAAATGTCGATTTAACGCAAAGCTTGTTTATTATGAGAGCCCGCTCCTCCCAATAAAGTGCCTTTACGAGTATCTTGTACACAATTTGTGTTTTGGGCTTTAATTAAAACCAAACAAAACAGGAGCACGCCTGTCAACGAGTCACCCGTTGAAGCCGACGAGAAAAGTTGAAAATTACCTCAAGCTGTTGCACATCAAGAACGAAGGGCCCCTGCGACAATACAGCACAATGTACCCCAGAACTCACCCACTAATTGCTTCTGTCTACTATTGTTGTTGTTGATGTTGTTGTTTTATCAGTGAAACATTGTGAAAACATGTGGGAAGCGTGTCCCCGCTTAAAAAGACATTACGAGCACATCGCGTAAGCAGCAACAATTAGTTTGTCTCATATACAACAAGGTAGCCGCGGGTGGGTACCCCAACCCCGGCTGCTTGGCAAGAGTTAAACGTTTTCATATTTATGAGCATCGTAAAACTCAATGATATACAAAATTAATGACTGAGGCGCCGCGAGTGGCACTTTTCCGACTTACTTTTGCTTACTTTCTGGCACCCATGCGAATCGTAAAAGAAATGTTACCAACAAAAACTTTTGTCAGCATTTCCCCATCTGCGAGTCAGTCGAGCGTCTTGTAATTTTAATTTCAAGACAGTCTGCAAGTTTTAGTTGCTGTCTCGAAAATATTTGCTCATAGCTCCACTCCGCAGCCCCCCCTCCCCCTCTCTCTCTCTCTCTCTCTCTCTCACCTGCTGCTCGCCTAGCTCTAGTGGCACGTACTTTTTGCTGTTTTTTTTTTAATTGACTTGCCTTTGCCCGACACGCCCAGCTCAAGGTTCATTAGTTAGGTTGGGGCTTTGAGGCTTGATTTGACAAATACTTATGTAGGTGCCCTCCCGCATTTCCCCCTCTGCTCATTAGGGCACTTGTCACATACGCCTCATGACATTTGACTTTGCCGCCCGTTCCCAGTTTCCGGCGAGCGTGTTGTGACTTTTTTTTTTTGCCTTTCGAACTCTCGGGCCGAGAGTGGCATCCTTTTTCACTCATCACTGCATAAATTTTCTTAAGTTTTTTCTTTCCGTTATGCGTTATGCATATTAATTTTTATTTGGGACCCAAATTCTTGCACTAGGTTTTGAATTTATGTTTTTTTTTTCTTTACCGAAGGTAGCAGCGTGTTTTCTCTGGTTCGTGACGAATGGGCTTAAAGATCGAATTTAGTTTGTTTGTTTCTGTGGTTCGAAATGAACCTGAAAATTGTTGTGTTATTCCCTTAATCAAATAAGGGCAACCGCGTCCTTTGATCACTTTTGATGCATACCAATTCCTTCACATAGATATATATACATGCTATATATTAGTTTAAGTCATTCATGAGGAAAAATATTAATAATAAAACGAGAAAATAGGGATATCTTCGGCACGCCGAAGATTTAATACTCTTGCAGACATTTCCCTCTTGCAGATATGTGAGAAGAGAGAAGCTCGAAAGTGCAGAGTTTGCTAAAAAATCTCTTGGAAAACAAGAACTTTCATTCGAACTATATGATTTAGTGCTCCGATGAACAAAGAAGTTTTCCATGCAAGAACCTAGTGTCAAATCCAGCTGATTGTACTGCCTGAAAGACAAAGACGAACCTGTGCAATGTTTGAAGTCGAAACTTTAAGCAGACTGACGGACATGGCTATATCTACTCGGCTGTAGATGCTGATCCAAAATGTAAATACTCTACGGATGGCTTCTTCTGTGGGATACATATCTAGTTTATTTAATACTTATTGTGGTATATATTTTGAGCAGTTCTCAATACAAACTTTTATTGTCTTTAACCTTGCCAATGCCAGCTGCAGTCAATCTAGAAATATAGGAACTGGAAAAATTATGCAAAGCTGTTTTTCTTTAGCATGGAATTCGTTTTGGCGACATTTTTAAATTTTTAATTAGTTTAAGTTACAAATTACATTAACGAAAAGCAACAGCTACACAAGATTTGTGGTCGTATATTTTAGCATTTCTTAACGAGATTTTCGAGCGAACCCAAAACAAAAGCAGGACATGCCGAAAGGCAGGTAAAAAAAATGCTCAGCGCCAAAAGGAATTCGCACCTTTGCATACTCAAATAGGTGGAGGGGCGCAACGGAACGCGTAGGGGCTTGTGGTTATAAATTTTAAATCTGTTAAATTAATGGCTGAGAGTTCTTTCATTCTTACGTGCCTCAAAGTTGACTAAAACTTGGCAGAAAGCGAGCACGTTGCCTGATTACATTAATTATTCCTTTATTGTTTGTAGAACTTGATGTTTTTTTTTTTTGTTTTTATTGTAACATGTTTTCCGTAGTTTATGTTTTTGTAATGAGCGCGAGTTTTGCCTAATTAGAATTGAATCTGATAGCAAAGCTCTTACTTACATATTAATGCATTTCAATTGGTATTCTACTTGCAGGATATATAACAATAAAAGCAATTGTAAAAATAATAGCAATAGCAATAATAATAATGTAAGTACACGGCAAACACGAGCAGCGACTCCTTTATGCATTTGTATTTCTATGGATCTTTCTCTTTGTGCAGCGGAATAACTACTGTTCGAATCAGTACTACCCGCAAAATAATCCGCGCGATTCATATCGTAAATACACACAGGACAACACAAATTGGAGCCAATCGTCAAACTATAGAAAGGATAACAGCAATTGGAACCAATCTACGAATTCAAGCTCCTACGATCGCAGTGAGCGACAAGATTTTCGACGGGATTCATCGTTCCGCGAGAGAACTGATTTTTATAGAAATTCAAGTGCGAATAGAACAGATAAGAAGAGGGAACACGTAAACAATACATTTCGCAGCTCCAGTGCCAGCAGGACGTGGATAAGTGAAGATCTCAAGAGTAAACGATGCGAAGCCCAGAACAAAAGCAGCGAAACAAATGAACATTGTACAAAAACTCAAGAGAGCCAATTGAATCAAAAGAGCTTACAGAGCCCAACTAAGGAAGATCAAAATAGCAGAAATATTACGATTTCAAATCGGGAAGATAACGAAGAAATTCATTCTGCGCCGGATAACAAAATTGATGAAACCGAGAACAACTATAAAGATTCAGATACCATAAAAGAACATAGACCCAAATCAAGAGAATCATCTGAAGAAAAACAAGAACCAAAAGAACAACCTGAAGAAAACAATTCTACAGCAAGTCCCTTAGAACTCAACAAAGACGAATTTAAAGACAAGCCAGAGCAAGCTAAAGAAATAGTGAAAGATAATAGGAGGAGCGACAAAGTAGCTGGAAGTCCTAGAAAAGTTGCTGGTATCACAACCAGAAACTACTCCGAATTAAGATTACTACGAAATAGTATTTCGAGTGCTCTACAGCGCAATATTAGGCATAAGTTTCAGCAGAATCTATCAGAGTCCAGGGCGACCAAGCAGCCAGAGCAGAGCGTTGCAAAAACAATAGCCAATAAAACATATCCCAAGATACAGGTGCGACCGCTGGCCGAACTGCTCAAGCAGGAAATACTCGCCGTCACGCAGGAGCAGCTCCTGGCCAGCACAGGGCCGCCGGCAGGCAGCAGAGCCAAATCTACGCAAAGGACAGCGATCCAAACACGTCGGCGTACTGTCAGCAGCTCCGTCAGCCATAATAATGGCAATGGCCACAGCGAATATAGCATCAATGACCGTCTGGCCAGCATGGACAAGGAGAGTCTGAAGAACATAATCAACAATAGCGATACGATATACAACGAGCATCTGAAGCTGCAGGCGCGACGACGCCTGCGCGAGGAGATACGACGCCAGCTGAAGGCCATTGAATTGGAGCAGCCAAAGGATAAGCCAGCCAAAGATCTAGTCGAGGACGAAATCGTCGACGCCATCAAGTTGCCACAGCTTTTGTTGCAAGAGATCGAAAAGTGCTTTGGCATACACATATCAGCACCGGAGGCGGAGGACAATAGCGCCGCCATCAGGTCAACGGAGGACGATCAGGAGACCAGGCAGAGCGAAACTTCCAATAAGGAAACAACTGAAGCTCAAGCGACCATTGCAACAGATCACATGGCCAAGGAGAACTCAACGGACTT